GAAATAAGCTAACTAATTACAAAGTCCTGAACTAGACTCATATCCATGTTCGGCACAAAATAAACTTCCTCCTGTTCTGTTCACTTTAAAGCAAGGTTTGGAAAATAGAAACAGGGTACAGCCAACCTGGATTTCTGCAAGATATCGGAGGACTTTCAAGCATACATCTAGCACTTCCAGATGTGAAAGTTTAAAGCTTGCCCATTTTTTGAGATATCTTAATTATGTCATCCATGTCCTCAGAGGTCACTCTTCACACTGCAAAAGCACTGCTCAACAGAACATGGCTGTCAGGTCGTATTCAAAAGAAAGTTAATTATGAGGTCAAAGTAGGCACTGGAGATCAGAATCCGACTGTGACATAAATGTGTGTGGAGCTTACACAATGGCTGCGTCCTCCTTACTCTTGTCTGCCTCTGACTGGTGCTATTAGTTATATCTTCAGATAAAACACTGTGTTTGGTTTGCAAAGGCTAATGAATCTTCCTTAAACTCCTCTGCCTGGTGCTCCCTCCCCTCCCTTGTGATGGTGATAGAACAGGCTGCAGACTCAAAGTGCCAGAACTACACTGGTCACCCAGATACCAAGATGATGAAAAGTAATTTTCAAAAATAGGAGGAGGATGCTGGAAGCACAAGCAAAACCTATCAGCTGCAACATGTCAAAAATGTCATTCTGAGTGATGTGGCTCTAAAGGACACAGACCTCATGAGGTAGCTGCACCAAAACCTCTGTATCAGACATGGCTGAGAGGAGCAAGCTGATGAGGAAAAGGATAGTGCCTTGTGACTTGGCAAATGCACTTCATAACATTTATGCTCGAAACTGCCTGCCTGTATGCCAAAAATCCATCTAAGAAAAAAACCCACACTGGCTATTTTCCCTTCATGATGATCTGTCCTCTGACGGGTATCTGTTGTGGGGAGAGAGATGGCTGGTGGAATGTGAGATCCATTTAAGGAGCGAATTGTGCAAAGAATACGCATGGGAAAAAGCAAATGGAAACTGTGCTGTGAGCATGGGGATACACTGGTCCCTACCGGTCCTATGTCTAAAGCACCAGGGGCCAGTGCCCTGTTCGTATTGCAGTGCATCGTTTGCATAAGCTCAAGCTACTTTAAGCATGAAAATAACTTCAACCACTAGAAGATGTTAGTGCAGTAATGATACCTGTAACAAGTGGAGTTGCCTTCTAGGAGACACAAATGATTCTCTGGGTGAATATATCATTTTACCTGTCATATTTTCTCTGTTCAAATGGGGATGTCTGGTGGCACTGTCTGAGGATGTGTGGGTTACTGTGCCATCTTAAAGGCCAAAGGTGTTAAAAGGATAATGTCTGTATATTGTTCAGAAGAACAGGGTTGATCACATAGGGAAATACCTGTTGAATCTGGAATTCTGTGCCTTGCAATGCACTAATATTTGTTTCAGTTAAGAAACAACTGACTAGACATGTGATCATGTAATTCTAAATTTCCTTTTTTCTTCTTTTTATTTAAAAATTTTCATGGAAACTTGTTGGCACAGCTTTCCAGTCTGTAATGCATACCATCACTAAGGAGCACAACTGCAGTGGGCTGTAAATAAAGAATCACATTTAGAACATAAATGCAAATAGACTTGCTCTTCCTTCCTCCCTCAAAAACACAAAGTTCAACTGGACCCCAAAGCCACTGCCATTTCCATTGATTCATCTGCAAGTGGCTTTGTGTGGATGGCAATAAATACAACAGCACTGGACGGGGATGAAAGTACGCCTATCAAAAGAAGTGAATGCTCTCAGCTCCTCGCAAACCAGAGTGGGCATGCTGTTTGGCTGACAATTTTTTCTCCCAAGGCATATGAAAACCTCAGGTTTATTGAAAGCCTCTTTCTCACATTTAACTGTCATGTTGGTGGCCTCCCCCTTAGCTGTGGCAACGGATCTACACATTTTCCAACATTGCAGGTTTATGATCCCAAAAACACTTTTTTGTTGCCACACCAAATTGACAACGGAGCTGGTGCTCTGTTCAACTTTCTTGCAGCTTATGGGAGATAGAATGGGGTTACTGCAAAAGTATCTTCCAGTGATGTTATGCATTTCAATGCATTTTATTGTTACAGCTCACAAGCAGTGTTCAAAGTGAATGTATGGAGAACTGACATTGTAATACATCACTGCCAACACAGGAGATAGACTAAATGGATCCTTGTGTAAACTGGTTATAGGAGACAAAAACTACAAATAAAAGGCTAGAGAAGAGGCTTTAGACTGAGGAACCTTGGACAGAAAATTAGATGGATCAGCACTGATGAGCTAAAATGCTGAATGCTTCTTTTAACAAATTTTTTTGAACATCCAAATAGAGAATCCTATATAATTTAGATGAGCTGAATTTTCAGTGTTTAACATACAATAGCATTGTAAACATAGGACTTGAAGCAGTACCTGAAACCAGGCTCTCCAATCTTCCCTATCCTTTTGTGTACTTAATTACATGGCTTCTAGCAGAGCACTATTCAGTGCTTTGACAACACAGCTGGCAGTACTTCCTAAAACTATATAATTGAAGAAAATCTGATCATTTCCTGCTTTCTAGCAATGGGTGGTTTAACTAAAAGTTGTTTAGTAAATGCTTTGTTTCATCTTGTAGCTATAATGTAAAAATCAGTATAGAATACTTTTTGCATGTAACTGATGCTGCATTTGCCATTGGCGATGACTTGTGCATTCTGCATCAGAACATTTCATAGTATTCACCTTATGAACTAAGCTTTTCAGTATATATTCTTACAGGTTTGGAGTGAGTTTTTTATTTTATTCCTAAGTAGGATGAAAATTCAGTTGTTTTACAACTGCAAGAACGTAGGTCAAATTTTATCCATAGATAAAATATTCTTTCATATAAAAATATGGGGTTCATATTTTCTTCTGATGTTTGTTTTTGTTATGTGAGAGGTATATCGTGGGAGTGCATAGGAATCTGAGAACAGGGGGAAAACTTAAGTGAATTTAGAGAGCAAGCACATCTCCCTAACTATGTGTTGATCTGTGATCCAAAGTGTTTTCAGTTCCCTGCACTGTCACAGACATCTTCAGCAACCTGAACTAAGGTTGTTCATCTCTTTAGGCCTGAATTTCCCTATTGGTCTAATGGGGTAATGGTCCTTGCCTGCCTCATCAGCACATGGATAACTCCTACGCACCACAGACTGACTGTGAGAGTTCAAGTACTATATTAACAAAGGCTATGTAAGTGCTTAAGGAAATGGAAGTACTTTGTATGCTTAGAATTACTGTTCCAAGTTCCCCCCCACAAAAAAGAAAGTATGCCCTGCATGTTTTTCCCTGCCATATCCCTCAGGATAGTTTTCTCATTGCCCAAAAAAGATCCCATTTTCAAATGAAATAATGTTAATACAAAAAAAAATAAGTTAATACTTTTCATTTAATTGTAGATAGGTATATCTATTATTTAAAACTAAATCCCACAGAAAAACATTAAAAAATTAAGGGACTAGGAAATAGATTCTATGATGGTGCTACTCCAAAGAGAAAAAGCATCAGTTTAAAAAGTGTAATTTAGTGCAAGCTAAAATTATTTTTATGATTCTAAGAATATGTAGCTTTAAATTTCAGAAAAAATTAGACCAAGAATTGCTTCTCAGTAACTCTTCTGTCACTTTCACAACATCTGAGACTGCTTTGAAGTTGCAAGAAAAGCAAGCTGTATTACTTTATTCATATGCAATAAGAGACGGAAATAAAAGCAAGTAAGGTAAGTAAGTGGAAATACAGGCAGTAACAGTCACATGCAGCCTGGGTAAGAGACTGCAGGTCTATCACAGCTTGCCAGCCCAGATTTAGCACTGCAGCATACGTGATCCAAGTCCCTGGTACAACACTGCCCCAGCTGGCAGAGGCCACCAGCTCAGGGAATCTGGGATTTCATATAGTATACACGATAAAATTTACCTATTGTCCATCTCCTCATTCAGGGTTTTATCCAAACTGCTTTGACACATCTGTGCTGGTAATTGTGTGACTCTCTTTGGTGGTACATTTTCAAGTCTACAGCATTCAAGTGTCTTAATTTACAACAGAACAAGATAACAACCCAACATAGGATCACGATGTTAATGTAATCTCACTAGCACTTACTCATATTACACGAAATTTAAAGGCTTTATTCAATATTGTTAAAACATGGTAGATTATTTTACCTTTTTTAAATGCACTTAATGGGAAAGGCTAGCTTCATTCTGCAGGTAGGTATTGGTGTTAGTTAAGAATTTGTCTAAATAATATTTTAACTAAAACTTTCCTAATTAATTGAATGTAAATAAGCACCTTGGCTGAATACAAAATGTAGCTGCCAAAGTTTTCACAGGCAGTCTGCACTCACCATACAATGGTCAGGTTTTCACTCTTACTGACCCCCTGATGCTTTGCCTTATGGATGCTCGAACACCCCTGAAAATGAGGCTGCATTTATCTAGATGAATAGAAATGTAGTCACCTAAGCTGATACACTTTAGTCCTAATAATCAGGCTCCTTTCACTACCTACTAAGCCCATAAAATTGCATTTACCAGTATTTCCTATCTTACTGTTACATATTTAGGAGGATGAGTTCATTTTAGCTTGAGTATCAAAATGACAATAAAACTTCCTGGCAGACTGAAACCTAACAAAAAGACACTGTTATTTCTTCACACAGGGAAGCATCATAAACTATAAAAATTCATAAAAGGGGCTTATTTAGAGAATAATGATAGTAGCATTGGAATACTGATACTAAGATATGAGTGAAAATATACAGGCATCTCCAGTGCAGTCAGAATTAAAATACTGGAGGCGTTTTCCTCCAGAAACTAACAGCTGTAAGTTGTTTTACATCTTGGAGGAATAAATTGAAATTCATCCATTAATGTCTAAAGAAAATGTTAACATTTTTTTAAAATGTTCCGGCTAAATTAACATGTGTTACTTATCTGTTTCTCTTCCACGAACCTCATTCTCTGAGTGCTGAGATCCACGTCCCAACCACTGGAACCAGAAACCTTCAACAACTGTTCAGTCTCAAGCTCTTTTCCACAATTGCACACTTCATTTTACCTAGGAACATAAAAGGGCTTGGAAAGCACGAGGTCTCTTGTAGAACTGCAGCAACACTCAGATACAAACATGCTCTCAGCTACCAGAAAGGGTGTTAAAACTGAAAAATGGCTGAGTTCTCCTCCATCACCATTAACCGAAAAAACACAGCTCCTGTTCTTGGAAGACTGCAGGCACAGACTTCCAAGCAGCTGACACTGTGAAACAGTAAAAGTTACTTCACACTGGTCTATCCTAATGGATACATAGTAATTAGCTTTTCTACTCTATTTAAGATAAATATACTGCACTGTCAAGGTTGTCAGAACTTCCAGAAGTGTGGGACAAGTCAGCTGCTGGAGATAGAGGACTTCAGAAAGTGAGCAAAAGCAACAGGGCAACTCTCTGCATCACAAAGATATTCCGTTGGATTTATGAGAGGCTTGAACTTTTGGGAGAGGCAAGGCAAGGTGGAAAAGCCAGTAGTGGTTGTGTTTTAGAGGCAGATCTTATCAGGACATTGGGTAGTGTCTAAGGAGAAGGGCTGGGCCAGCGGTTAAGTCCTATGGAAAGATCTAGGTGAGGTTAAGACCAGAAATAAACTTTTGGAAAACTATTATCCAATAACTTGTTATCCCAGGCAATACTGAGGAAATCCTACAAAACTTGTCTCTCAGGTACTGAGACCACAGGGGCTATGCCAACACTATAGTATTGCATGACATACGTGTACAATACTGACCTTTATTTCATTATTCCCATCAAACCCCTCACACCGTTCTTTATACATAAAGCCATATGCAATCCTAGCAGCAATAGGATGTATTTCTATAACTTAGAAATCTTTGTCTGAAGATGACCAAGAGATCAGCTGAAACTCTGAAAAGTATAGCTTTCTCTATACACTTCAATGTAGCTTAAACTGGTCTTGCTTGATTAAAAATAACTAGGTTGTGCAATCATTTGGCTCCATGGCTTTTGAAATACAGGATGCTGGGCTACATGAGGGGCAGGATCATTCTGAGTTCTGACTGGTCAAATCAAGGAACACTGTTTGCTGTTACAAGAGCACCTTCTACTGCCTGTGTAATGGCATTGTGTTAGGAATGCTCAACCTTAAAAGACTAATCCCTCTGAACCAGTCTCAGCAGTGCCTTCCTAAGAACTTTTAAAGGATGATCTCGTGTATAATGTGCCAAAGGAAATTATGTAGATTTCAGACTACTTGTATTTTTAGAAATAAAGATTCAAAACCCCATATATATATCCATGTTTATACTCTGATCCATACAGATGTTTTCCTCACTTTGTAATAGATTGTACCCTATGTTGAATTTCTAGGTCCTGTTTCAGTTCATCAAATATGGCTGTTAGTACTATTTCTAATTTTGCTGGAGTGGGGTATCTGATATCTCAAAAAAACACCTATTAATAAAGCAGTATTTTTAATTACAATATGTTTCCAATATTTAGGCATATGAACTTTACATTCTCAAGGAATATCAGTGTTCTGCCAAACTATGAGCTAAAGAAACTCTAAACATTGTTCAGCAAAGTGCTACTACAATCATCAGATACATTTAGCCATTGCAGATTTATCTGCAAGGGAATACTGGAGTTTTTCCTATTATTTTTTTTCCCTTCTTTTTTTTTGGCCTCTATCCTCTTGATAAATCTGCTCAAGTTTATATTGAGTATCCTCACCTAAATGTCTCTTTCAGGGGAAAAATATCTACTAATGAGATGCATGTTACCTATTACTTTAAGCAATTCAACTGCAATATGACACCAGAAAGAAGCTCTGACCTTAATAAACCTCATGGACACTAAAAGGAATGACTCAGAAATTGAATGCAAAATAGGCTACAGAAGTCATCCATTAAATCAATCAGTGGTGTCAATCTTCTGTGCCTTGCAAAAGACTTGTGTACATCATGTTATTTCCAGCCTTTCCAAGAGCTAGTTACCTATTTCTCCACTAATAGCAGGAACTATTGCCACAAAAAACAGTGTACTGTAGGCGCTTGTGTTAATGGTAACACCCTTGTTCTTCCCTCAATCACCAGATGATTGCCATCAGGTAAAAGAAAGTCTGTATCTTCAAAATCTGTTCAAGTTTTCTACTGTACCTTGTAACTCCCTTCAATTTAATCCTGATGTATTTCCACCTCTGCTCTTGACATTTTCCTCTGCAAGATCTCTCACATACACACACACAAAGCAGTTTTCCCCAACTACACCTGCATTTCCCTTGTCATCGGTCTCTTCAGTGTCCCCTCACCCACATAGTGTGACATCTTCCCAGAGGAGGCTGGTTTCACCCTCCAGGGACTTCAGGGGATGACTTGCTAAGACTGCAGAGCCTGAGCTCCTTTCTGAAGGGGACTGGAGGGAACTGCCAGCCAACTTTACCAAGTAGCAACTGTAGGAAGAAGACGAGGATGCCAACATGTAGAAGAAGGGCCCAGCATCCTGAATTGGTAGATGACTTTATGGGACACCTCTTGAAGAGAGACTTCCATTTACAGGAAATAATACTTTTAAAGACACTGAGTTCCAAATGTTTCTTAAAAAAAAAAACAAACACTCAAGTTTAGATCCCACTCTCTGACAGTTTATATGTATATAACCTAATCTTTTTTTTAAGGTTAAATGTAAGGAATCTTGAAAAACCTAACCCAGGACTCTGTTTCAAATGGTCCTTATTTCAAGCATTCTATGCAAAAAACACCCTACACAAAAGCTCAAAGAACTTAAAACCAAATATGCACAGCCACCTGCAAGCAAGTAAAGAAAATAGATTTTTGTTCTCTTAGAAAACCAGCTTGGGAATGGCACTGAAACACACCTACCTGACTCTGCCATCTTTGATGGTAAAGCTTCCAGGAGCTGTTCCACAAATATTTTCTAATGATGTGCATAAGTGCTTTGAGTTTATTGTATTGTTCAATCAGGATGCAACAAGATACCCTTATATATATAATACTGTTATCCCTTTGCATAACAGTGCCCCAGCATACCTAAGTGAGAAAGCTAATTAAATAATTTTCAGAGATTAATATTCAGCAGAAATCTTAGCACCTCATTTTTACATAATATTTTCCCTCATCTAAACTCAGCCCACTTTAGCTTTTCTCCCTTTTCTAAGAGTGTCTGGATAATATCAAATGCTTACAGTTAGGCTAATTCTGCTCTTGTGTGATTGAATTCGTTTTGACATAATGCTAGACTTGGCATTGGTTTTGTGTACATACCACTGGGGGCAGGTGGAATTTCAATAATAACTTGTGTCCTCGGTTGTGTTATAAAGCTAACCCATGGAATCCAAGCAGATGAAGCAAATGTGTGCTGAGGTAAATTGTATTTTATAGAGATTGAACTTTTTTATTATTGAGTATATATCTTAAATCCTATAGAAAACACTAGTTTTACCACTTTTTACATCATGAATCATACAGAATAGTGATTTCCTTTTATAGCACTTATTTCCTTTGCCAACTTATAAAATTATGTTGTAAGAGCCCGGATATAACAAGAATTTTATAGAACATTTGTGGAATAAAAAAATTTGAGGAATTACTGCAGTTTGTTTACTTCTTTAAAATGAACTGTGGTATAAAGCTAGTTAAACTGCACTTAAAATATTTCCCCATATGCTCTCAATAAGTAGTGCTGCTGCACTACACTGGTATGAAATGGATGAGGGTGACCATCTGGGGCCACTTCTCACACAAAGGGAAATGGCTGAATAATTTCATTATTTAACATGACTGCTGTGATTAGCCAAGATGTAACCTAGTCATATAATTATTCCAAATATAGACTTTCTGAGACTTCGAAGAGCTTGGCTAGCTGTTCATAAAAATAGTTTCATTGCTGCCTCTCACAAGCAGTTTAGCAATACAGGCTAGTGGCCACTCTGCTCGGTCTATTTTTGCCCCTGTGTGTTTGTGCATTGTGTGTTGACAACTGTAGCATGTTTGTACTACAAACCATGCTTTGAATGAGGGCTTAAATCTGTTCAAGTTTTCTAATGTGAAAGGAATGTTGGCACAGCTAGAGAGAAAAAGAAACCCTTTTAAAAATCTTCCTGCATGAAGAAAGAAACTTTTTCTCCACAGTAAATGTGATGTGAATAGAACAGAAGGTCTAATTGTTTTCCTCTTGTTCTGGCACATATGTTGTGAATTGGGTGTAACCATATTTAACTGCAGCATCTATTCAAATTGGTAGCAAATAATTAAGCACTAAATAATAGTTTTATTTGGGAAAGAACTTTTGTACAGCCCTTGCTCGGATTTCAACATATATTCCTTAAGTGGAATGATTTTTCAGAGATTATGCCTTAAAAGACATAATGTACATATATACACACACAGAGCAGATGTGACAGACATGATAACAATCTTTCACTGCAGGTAATGAGTAACCTTTTTCTATGTGTCTTTGGTGGAAACAACAAGGCATCACAGGCTTGAACTGAAGTGAAAACTGTTTAGGATAGGCATTTTGAAAAGCCCGTTTTAATTTTAAGGAAAATATAGAAGTGTAGGAGACTCCCTAGAAAACTGTGGACCCTACATCATGGATATCCTTACGGACACATGATATAGGTGTCTGTCAGGAAGGACCACAGTGCTGTTGATCCTGTCTTGAACTGGTGAATGGACTGCCTAATCCCCTCAGGTGGATGGGAGTGGGTGTAATGATAGATTTAAGCATCTTTTCTATTTTCTCACCAGAAAATGGGTCAGAGGAGACCCCTGTACAGGCCCTAACTCTATAGGCCTGTCCAAAACTCGCCTGTGTCAAGTACTCCACTGTTGTGGTTTGAGCCTGGTCAGCAGCCTAACACCACGCAGCTGCTCACTTCTCCCTTCTCTTCCAGCGATGAGAAGGGACAAATGAGTCAGGCTTGGGATTCGAGATAGGACCGGTAGTGGCAGACCACCCATTATGGTCACAGGCAAAAGGCAGACTCGTTAGGGGAAGAAAAAAACTACCTACCAGCACGCCCATCTCACCGCCGCGGTGGAGGAGACAGTGTGGCCAGACTTGGTGCTCCACAGGCAGCAGTGGGCTGTCAGCAAATGCAGCAGCTCTCCCCTACCTGCTCTTCCCACTCACCAGGAAGATCCCCCTTGGCAGATCCCATCTGTGGGGCGCCTGCTGAAAGCGGGAAGGGAAGCAATCCTGTGCACAGGTTGCTGAGCTCCTGCAAACCTCCAGTCCCCCAAAGCCAAGGGGGCAGCCATGTAACTTGTGCTAGTGGGAATGCAGAGGAGGGGGAGAAGAGTTACCACAACTGGCTGCTCCTCCTCAGCCAATAACAACTGAATGCCCAGAAACCCTTCAGCCCAAGCTCACCTCTCATGTGACTGGGGACAGGGACAGAATTTGCACCGTGCTCCTGCTGGGCATGGCACCATTCCCCTGGACACCACCCACCATGTTGAGTGTGAGGAGAAGACCCTCAAGCAGCATCTGTGTGGAGAAGTCTAAGGAGACTGTATGGGCTCAGTCCCGCGGGAGGGAGCTGGGCGCCCACTCTGGGTGGCAGACAGATGGGCTGTCCTTGACGTACTCAAAGGAAAAGCGGAAAGGCTCTCCTGCAGCCCACATCTCCAGGGAGACTGGAGTCAGACTTGTCATATAGATCCCTTCTCTGGAGCTGATCCGAAGGTCCCATCTCCTCCATAACCCTGAAGCACTCTCCTCCCGCTCCATCAGCTTTGCAGGTGAAGGGTACAAAACATGCAAAAAGCTGCACATCTACCAGGAGCACTGGCACAGGACAGAGGTGGATATGAGTGGCAGGGAGTGGAGATCCTGGAGGATCTCCCAGAGGGATGCAGCTTACATCACGACTCACATCATCCTCATCGAGGCCTGGCAAGCAGCTGATAAGGAGCTTCCAGTTTGGTTTCCTCTAAAGCGATGCCCATTCACACATGTCGAAACCACTCCACATGTTGGATCAATGCATGGTAAACAGAGGCAAGCAGTTCATTTTAAAACCCGTCTACAGCTCCAGAATAAATACCATGCAGATGCAGCCTTAATGCATGAATTTCAGGTGAGATTCTCTTTTATTCCTTTGTATCTTGTTTCCTATCATACTTTTTTCCCTCGGTGAATTCCTCACAGGAAAAAAACATGTTAAACAAGATGATAATAGGGATAATATGAAATTTATCTGTACTGTTTGGAGGAGGCTGTCAGAAGCCGTTAAACATTACCATTAACAATGAAGAAAAAAAACAACATGAAGATCTCCAGACAAATTTCTTTTATTGCAGACATATCCATTACTATTATGGAAGTTTACTGGTGATTTTAGAGTACATTGATTTAGTGCATCTTCTTCTCGTTCTTCTTTAATACATGCATTATGCGTTTTAACTGCACTAAAATAAAATTACAGTTGTAAAGTGAGGCATTCAAAAGTTAAGGTATATAAAATTGAAATTCACCTAGGCAATTTTAATTCAATCCCCTTGTCAATCTATTAAAAAGACAGTTATTCTGTCTTCTGCATCTTCTTCCCTCGATGTGTTTTTTTAATGAAAATCATCAAATTGCTGCCAATAATAAATAATTATGCATAAAAATCCTTTAAGCAAGTATTTGCAGGGACTTTGGAAAATATCTCAGTTGGCATGAAGCTAATTCTAATATGTACTAAATGTACATATGTCATATATATTTAGTAACCTGAGCTCTTCATTAATATATTCCTTTTCTGACAGGAGGAAAACAAGAAATCTCTGTTGGGATACTTAAACTGTATATTTCATTGTCTGTTTGTCTAAATAGCTCTCCATTTCTCTAAGTCTTTTCAAGCTAGCTGCTGATCAATAACCAAATATTTGAAGATGTTTGCTTCGGGTATGGGGTACTGAGACAGAGCTGGAAAAGGGCTGAAAGGGTGACGAGTCATGCATAATTTTTTACTTTCAGTTAAAACATTGATGTTTATTACCTGTATTACTGACATTTCTAAAAATATCACTCATATTCCAATGTCAGTGTGACATAGAAAAATATTTTGAAAAAGAATTTTTAGATAACCTTCATGTTTAGCTAGTAACCCAAGATGTACATCAAGCTGCTTGACAGTGTTGCAGGCTATTTGAGATGGAGAGTGACTATTCTTTCCTTCATTATACATCCACTCACTCTTCTTCTTTTCCCAGCAGCCAGGTTGGCTGACCCCTGGAAATCTTCTGCCATCTCCAACATCCACCGTTGTCCCCAGAAAACAAGTCATTCACTGAATTCAGCTGTTTTTATGAACATCTTGCTGCTAACTGAAGATTTCCATCTTTACGTTATCAGACAACGGGGTTTTGAAAGATAAAACCCATCAGATCCTGATGTGTTCTCTTCCTTCTTCCCCTCTATTACAAGATACTATGTTTGCTCTAAAACCAGACTTCTGACTAACTTCTGAACTACTTGTTTTATCTCAGTAAAATCCTCTTAGACCTAGAGAAAAGTCAAATTGTTTCTACTTTTGTATATACAAAAATGTAGTAGGCAAACTTTCAACAAAATGTTAACTTTTTTAAGAGTTTCATGGATTTTTGGATGTAGCTTATGGTGCATGCAAATAGTTCAAAGGGATGGTTTATGAAGTTATATATATAGTGTGAAGAAAGATGACTCTTCTTCTTCTCATTAAAAAGTGCTTTTGCCATAAAAACAGTCCTTATAAAGTAACTACATTTTGATGCTTTTTCTTCTCTTGGGAAAACCACTCCTTCACTTGCTCCATCTGCATCTTCACAGAGCCAGAAATTACACTGGAAATAAAACATTTATTAGCTATTTTATTTCTGTTCCTGGGGTTTTTTGCCTCTCAGACTGGCAGACCTGGGAATGCTGGGAAGACATTGAGATCAATTGTTTATGGGGAAAAAAATGCTTTACATCTTTCACTGGTTAACTTCCTAGTTGGTTAAAATACAGCAATTCCACAGGCTTCTCATCCAATTTTCCTTAGCCAGAACACTGCTGGAAGGCAATGCAGGGCCTAGGTTGGTAGAAAACTGAAGAGAGAGTAACAAAGGATGGAAGAGGATAGAGGATTCTGTTCAATTTAAAATTATATAAGATCCATCTCCTTAGCAAAACCATTCACAAACATGTCAGTAATGACTAAGGGTTAAGAACACAATGGGGGTTTGGGAGGTTTTTTGGTTTTTTGTGTGTTTTTCTTTTCGTATTCTAAGAGGCGCTCCATCATTTCTCAGTGAAGAGCAGCCGGCTTCAGAAGACCTGCAGGGAGCCCTCCACCATCCCAGGTGGAAGAGGGGCTCCACAGTGAAGCAAGCCATGCCAAGCCTGGCCTCTGACCGCTGCCGGCACGACACAGTGACAAGCTGACAGCACTCAGCCTGCTGATGACTGGGGAATTAGTTTTTTCCTACTCCTCTGGCTACAGAGTGCTGGAAATGCTCGTGGGTGGATGGAGAACAAGCACCCTTGCCCAGGTACAACTTCTTATTGCGGCATTAGCAGCAGGATGAATTTCAAATTTATCTTTAAATAAGATGCGCCGCAGATGGCTACCTGTTTGTGAGCGGTTTGGGGAGGTGGACACAGGCGAGGGCCCGCCACCTTTTCTTTTTCTAAAAGTTTGCGGGTCCGGCTGAGGGCCGGGGCGGCAGGTGGGCCGGGGCGCTGCCACGCCCCGCCACACACTGCCCCAGGCGGCCGGCGGGCCCGTGACCTCCCGCCACGTCTTCCAAGACGGGATGTTCCACGCACCCTCTCTGAGGTTATATGGTTTCGGTCCTGCGGGAGGGTGGTCCGCACCATAAGAATTAGCCTCCTTGGCCTTTAAAGCCATTAATTTGCAAAGGAAAGCGTCTTTGCTTAAATAAACTCTACAGATACTATCTTGCATGGCTAAACTACTCTCGAATGTCTTTCTACTCAAACTCCTGGTTTCTTGCTTGTTCATTTTTGGAGGGGAAAGGAAGTTTAGCTGGATCCAAATTTAACAGTAAGAACTCTGACACCATGAAGTATTTATGTCTTTGATTTCAGTCATGGGGTTTGTGTTATTTGTTTCTTTGTTCTTCTAGAGCTGCCAGTTCACACAGCCGTGGAAATCAGTATTGTATCACTTATTTTTCTTCCTATTTGTTTCTATATCTGGAACTCTGATAACATTCTCAGAGCTAAGAAAACCATCCGTGGTTTATATACCGTCATCAGGTGTACAAACATCACATCCTTGGCAGAAATAGAGAAGGAAAGATGGTCTTCGGGAATGAGCATTAACATGAGCATTAACTAGAAAAATACCATCTTCTAATTATAATTCCAGACATGGCTATTGGTAATGTCAAATTACATCTTCTCTCTGCCGCACAATCTCCATCTACAAGCTGTAGTTAAGTGCAAGAGTTAACTGTGTGACAGGTGGGTAAGGAAAAATAATTGATGAGCAAAAACCTCTCCACTCATTTTGTGCCTTTATAAAAGCATTGTTCTGATTTGCACCATTTCCAGTGAAAGGAGAACGAATAGTACTTTGAAGAATTACATCAAGGCAAAATGTTGTATTTGGCATTTAAATTCTAAGTTGCTAGCTGTCTCAGAAATGCCTGAACCAGATAGTCAATGCCAAACACTACATTTTTCATATTCTGTGACATTCTTCAATAATTTCTCCAAGCCTCATACAGAGAAAACAGTGCACTGTGAAGGCTGTTACTAATACTTTGATCAAAGTCATATGATTTGCCTTTCTGATTTTTTGAACTTTCAAAGCTGTTTTTGCTTTGTTTTCTATTGTAAGAGTTCTCTTACATATTTGCCACAGCTCCTAAGGTTTGTACATGGGCTATGTAAGTAATAACAATCAAGGTGCAGTAAATTTCCTGAGGATTAATGACTGGCTGGGAGGAGATGAAGGTCAGCAGCACAGCCAAGGATCACTAACCCAAGCTGGTCATTAATCTCAAGAATTTACCCCATGCCAAGGTCAGTATTGTTATTTTAAGCTGGAAATGAAAAAAACATGGCCATATGAATTTTTATTTGATATGTTTAACTGTAACATCCTGCATATTTTAGAAAAAAATAATTTTATTTGGGAGAATTACATTAGCTAATCAGACCACCAGCCCACCTTTCAGTGTTTGATTAGTTTTGCTTTCTTTAAAATATATACTGGCCTATGACAGGCAGAAAATAATTACAACGTTTTCCTTCCATGTGCAATTGCTGTGGACCTATTAAATAGTGACCTTTTTTATGTATTTACAAGTTTTGATTTCCATCCCAAATTTTATCTCCTAGAGTTTAATGATATCTCTCATAAAATATTCGTTTGACTGAACATTTGTTCAAGTTATTAGAGTTTTGAAGGAGCTGATTCAAAAGATTGTTTTTCATGAAGTGAGGGTATTATAGACAACTAGAGGGTGTCTACAATTTAGGGAGTATTTAACTCCCTTTAGATAGCAGTACTTCCTTTAGAAAAAAAAATAAAATTGCAACTTTGATATCTAACTAATATTCACATTTGTATTTATGGTCATGTAGTATTTTAAATTAACACTGCCAATCAATCCTTTCTGTAGCTATTCACCATATTTCTATACCAGGACAGATATGCTGGGCTTAAAAGACTTTAGATTCTCCCTGATTAGGAAGGATCCAGCCATCATCTCAGCAGCAGGCTTCATGAGGGCAGACTCCCCCCACATGCTTTTCTGAAATAAGTCTCCAAAAAGAAAGTTGCTGCCAGGCCTTTCGTCTAGGCACCAAAGGTCCCTTAGGAGATCAAATGTCCCCCAGATCTTCTGGCACATTTCAATTTTCCAGTGATACAGGTGACAGTTGAAGAAAACACGTACAGACTCAGCAGAAGGAAAACAAATTGCAATTTATCTTATACAAGAAATATTTAGATCTTTCTAAAGCAAATACCATTTTCCTTGTTTCAAGGTGGAGCTTGCCTTTTGTTTTATAATGTTTCCTCTTGCTAGGAAATTTGTCCCCGTGAGTTCCTCAACAACTTTTCAGCCTTTGCAGTTTTAAATCCCCAGTCCATTATTTCCCTCTCTGCTCGCAGATGGGGAATTGGTGCTGAAAGGGACAAAATGGATCTTTGAGGTCAGTCCTCCAAGTTTACATGCAGCTGTGCAACAGACAGAGATCTGCAGAGCTTTGACTACATTTGACCCAGCTCACCACAGATCACAGAGTATTTTCCACCATCTCTTACAAACTTCAGCTCCACACTAAGAGACCAAAGAGAGAGTGTAATGTGCTATAGAAAGAGAGCAGGAGTGACAGGGATCCGTTGAAGCAATTTTACTTGCTCGGCCATATCCTGTTTCCAGCTGAGGTCAATCTGCAAAGTTTTAGCACATGGCTCACCAACCAGGCACCTTGAAGATTTTAATACAATTCTAAATCACCTCATTTATTCCTACCAACATATGTTATGTCTCTACTTGTAGCATACTTTTAGTGTTTCCTTTAAAATATATTAACAGGTGTGCATGTGAAAAACGGACAGCTTAAGGAGGTTGTTGTTACTGGACAAAGACTCAATTTGAGTGTGGTCCAGTGAAAATGTTACACTAAGTAGCCTTACAAGCCAAAAAAAAAGTTCTCCAAATCTCACATTCTGATTGTAGATCAGGCTAACTCAGCCAGAAATAAACTAATCTTCAGGCTCCTTCCCACAATATATTTAGTTTCTTCTTTCAATCATGACTCTTTTGTATCTTCTCCTTTTACATTTCCTTAAAAAAACTAGGAAACGTAGTTAAAGTCTTGATATAAAGTTACTGAAAACCAGCAAACCCCATGAAATATGGTGTTGCTTCATTATTTATTAAGTGTTAGCAGATGTTTGTTGCTATAGAAAGCCATAGAAAATGCAGACTCCCATCCATAGCCCTTAGCATTAAGACTATTTTGGTGGCCGTCTTATCTTGACTGTCTTGTACTGTGATAAGGTCCTTCATTATGGGCTGAATTTAGCTATTCTTTTTTTGACTGAACAGGGTATGATTTCAGAAATGATTCTACTAAAGTAGCATTATGTGAATACTTATGACCTGAATTTTTACAACATATACTCATTAATCACCTACAATATATACAGCTATAGACAACATATATTTTGCATAACATTAGTATCTTTTTCCTAAATCTATCAAGATGTTTTATTTATATAACCCTCAAGAAAATGTTTCCTCTGAGGTGCCTGATGACATGTTCTATCCAGTACCTACTAAGCTTGCTACATCAACATTCAGTGTTTTGGTGGACAGCTGCATCACACCCCTCCTTCCACCCTCACCCCCCCCACCCCCCACCCCCCGCTTTTGAAGCATGACTGTAATGAAATATCAAATGTCATTATGAAAGGCATTTCAAGGTTGTTTTGAAGTGAAAATCCTTTTCAGTATCTCTTTATTAGATTTTCATACTAAAATACACACAGGGAAAACTGCCACCCAAAACATAATTACATGCAGATTTTGTTTAGTTGCTTAATAGTCACACTTTCCTTTACTGACTATATGAACACATTAAAATTGTCCAGGAAACAGTACGGGTAAGAAAGTGTTGGCAACATGTTCATAATATATCCAAACAAAAGGAGAGAGACATAACATTTACAAATGCAAGAACCACAGCCTGCCTCATCTAGTATCAGTGTCTGTGTAATCAGTATCCGCAGGGTCAGCCAGAAGAAGGTACATGAAATCTTCTCCAGGGTGGGTGTTTTCCCTGAATGTTTTTACAAGCACACTGTACTATAATGGACTCCCAAGCAAGATTTCAGATGAACAACTGGGAGGACCAGTTCTGTGGTGGAAGGACAAGAAGCAATGGACACAAGATGAAATAAGAGGTTCAGGCTGGATCTTAAGAAAACTGTTCTTACACTGAGGACAGTCAAGCAGTGGAACAGGTTTCCAGAGAGGCTGCGCAGTCTCCGTCTTTGGAGGGTTTCAAGACCTGCCTGGAGAAATCCCCAAGCAGCCTTGTCTGATCCCAGAGATGGCCCTGCTTTGGGCAGGGGGTTGGACCAGAGACCTGACGCCCCTTCCCACCTGAGTGACTCTTTGATCCTATAATTAAATGCCATTTAATAGAAATAGTAGGATTAAAAACAAATCAGCTCAAACCTTCTCACAAGATTTGGTTCTTCATTAAAGATGACTCAGTTCAAACTGAATCACTTTGCTTAGAGAGTTTCTCCTGGTATTCTTGGTGTAACCTGCTTCAGTGAGCCACAGAAAATTACATTTTTTTTCTACTAACAACCCTCAGTAGTCACTCTTACTGTAAAGTAACCCCATCAGAATTAAAACTAAGTGCATAACGTTTGAATAACATGATTTTTTAATAAATCTTACTCTAAATGCTCATTTGTGGACAGCTGCTTTTTATTTGAAGCAAAAGTGCTGGTGTCTTTTATTGCCTGTTCCTTAAATAAATTGCTTCAAACTGTTGGCTTCATTTACATATTTTGAAAATTAGTTCTATTACTTAACTATATACTGTAAAAAAATATATTTCTTGCCCTTAAGTTTTATGAGTTCCTAAGAACTCACTTAGTTTCAATTTCTTTAGTTCATAATGATGTAGTTTTCAGCACTCAGTGCTTTAAAAGCTTTAATCACATTTTACTCTTACTCTTCCCTTCTCTAGCATCCTAATCTATTCTCCAGAAAGTCAGAGTCTTTTCCTGGCTTCGGCAGCTTTCCATCCATCACTCATTTATGAGCTTCTTTACAAAACCAATACACAATAAATATATACACACATCATCAGGTGACATATATTACATATATACCATGCCATTTTTATATAATGCCATTGTAAATATATGTATGCTTATATGCGTCAACACTAATACACAGAATAGTATTATAATATTTCCAATTTTATTTTCTCTCCTATTCTAACCTAAGATATTCCTATGGTATCTCTTGCATTTTTTAAACAGACTTTCACTGATTTCCCATGACAGTGATTGATTTTCTGAAGAGTGACAACAAAATTACCCTGAAATGTGTATGGACAATTGTTCTGTTTAGTTTTTCTGTCTCCTGTTTATGAACACTAGAGTAGCTATGACTGTTGAAGTCCATAAGGTTATAATAATTTAAAATAAATAAATAATTATTCTGCTGTATTTATACCTACTCAGATGCCTATGATAAGACAAGATGGGTGTTTGTTACAGTTTTCTCTAACGCTGACTGATTTAAATAACTGACTGACTGTAGTGTTGCTACTTCTCTATACAGTCTTGTACAATGTCAGAACTATTTCAGATCATTTGAGCAATTTGTCAACCTGGTTTTATCCTGGAAATTGAGCTCAAATTCTTTTATTTCCTTGTTAAATGTTCTGTAAGCCAAAAAAGAAGGTGTTATCTCTGGCTAGATGACAGACTTTAATGTTCTATCAAATGACAAGAGAAAAATTTAGCAACCAAAGAACTTTCTTAAGGAAATGCAGGAAAAACTGTCCCTCTTGGGATAACTTCTGAATGTATTCAGTCACTTCTACTTAGCTGCTCCGTTTCACTCCAGTTCCAGTGGACCGACACATACCGAAATTATCCATTATTCATGTAATGAAAATGTCAGTTCATCCTTTTTAGAGCATGTTTGCTGAACATGTATCCTAGAAGACTTTTTTCTATGGTATACAGCCTTGGGAGAAATGCCCCTCTAGCCAGTATGTTTTTTTTCCTGTGTCACACTGCTCCCTGCAGACATACACATTTCATTAATAATGTAATTAAAAAACAATAAAAGTCTCTGCACTTTGTATGCATATATTCAAAACAGCTATTTATTTGGTAAATTCTCTGCCATGATCCTACTGAGCCTGACTGCATTTCAATTTTGCTATTCGAAAGAGATTCCAAATCAACCCCTTACATTGTCCTGTAGGTGATGGTTCTAGCTAAAATGTACAAGGAATACAGCTACATTTTAGGCTATCAATCACAAGTGCTGCTGACAGACTAACATGGTGAGTAGAGTAATCCACATTATTTTTAACCTTTTAGACAAGGACTCCTCATCTTTCATAATTGTCAAGAAGGAATATTGCCTTGTGACTGCTCATCATTTTCCTGTTTTTCTCTCTGAGATCTCCATTCAAAGTCTTTGGAGATAAACCAAGAAAGCATACTCAAAACTAGCAGTCATGGTAGAGACTTCTCTTCAGTATTTGGGCAGGCAGGCAGGAAGTGAATTTCTTATCTTGCTAGTTTGTTTGACAGAAACCAATGCAATAAAACATTTTTTAGTCTTATTTACCTCTAAAAACTAAAAGTTTAAAATGGCAAGAAAAAGCAGAAATGCCCAGAAAATAGCTGAAGGAGCCAATCTTCCCTCAGGCACATGGTTATAAGTTCTTGGAGAAATCAGACATCATTCCTACCCCCTGAAGGAGGCAATGTTGGCAACCCAGTTAAAAAAGAAGGCTCCGTTACAACTCTCCTGCTTGAGGTGTTGTGTTTTAAGATGTAAACCAAAGGACTTGATCATTTGTGACTTAAAAACTCCAATTCTATTTTTTTTTTTTTTGCATTAGCAGTAGGTTTTTCCTAGATTCCTGGCCTGCATCCAGTTAAAACAACTATGTATGAGTACTTGCCTAAACATTCTCTTTATGCTCGGTTGATTATGGCATTATTCATTTTCTCTCCTGAAGTGCTGAAATACTTCTGTACACTATTAAAAAGTTCCTTGCCTTCTCCCTGAGGTCGCTGCATTTCCATGATGAGTGATGTAATGCATCAATAGAATAGTTGGTAATTGGTTTGTAAAGTTTAGCATGCACTCTGGGATCATTTCAGGAAGGGCTATAAACAAGTATCCATCATTCTTACTCTCTAATATGTCATCCCTGGAACCTTCCTTAGCAGGTTTTAAAATTCCAGAGCTGTGATGATTAAACGTTACCAGGCCACAGTGTATTGAAGCAATGTCATGATGTAAGGGCAAGAATTTTCATCAGTCAGTAGGGAAGCAAGGAAGTGAAAAAAGATTCAAGCTATTCACCTTAGAAATTAAAAAAAAAAGAAGTGTGTAAAACCCAGCATTGACTCATCTGACATTATCTATGGAGAATGGGGAGTATAAAAGCTTTATTGGAGTATAAACTCCAAGGTTTGGCTTTTGGTATGGCTAGAGAACTCAGTAATATGATTAGACAGGGAAATGTATTTGGGAAATGGGTCGCCTGGAAAAAGGAGTTAATTATCCAAAGACTATGAGTAATGTCCAAGTGTTCTTCACATAAACAGTAGCATAGTTCTTCACTTAATAGTCAAGGAAGCAGTAAAAAGATGATACTACTTTTAACTTTGCTAAGTAATGAGTATGTTATTTCAAAAATGTCAAGGAAAATAACTTTACATGACGATGGTATAATTTATTTATACAAAGGATAAACAAAAGTAAGTCTGTAACTAAAACTCACTATTCTAAAACTACAAGCTTTAATAATTAAGAAAATAATTGAATTAAATATATAAAATTATGGAAAGGATTTCAGGATGTGGATGTGAAAGAATTCTTAATTGCTTCGGGTCAAATAGGGATGAAAATATTCGACTGTCGTTAAAGGTAGAAGCATGGGAATGAATGCCTGCAGGAATAGGCTTCAAACCTAGTAGGTTAAATAACCATCACAAGCAAGATGTTATGAATATGCAGTGTCAAAAAGTAATAGAAAAAACGACTGATCAGTAAAAAAGCTATGCCTTAGAAGCTAGAAAATACAAGGCAAAATAAGGATTGTTAAAATCAACATGAAATAGTCTTAATGAAGATATTAAAACATAGAGCAAAAAGGTTTGTACACATGTTCAAAAAGACAAGGAGAGCAGCAGGACCTCTGTACCATTAAGCTGGGACAACAATTAAAAACAACAGATGGATGATGATTTTGGCCATGATGGCAAAGGCAGTACATCCTGCTACATTACTGCAGTGTCTGTCTCCATTTTTAGACAAGATCAATGAAGCACAGTGAATCTACTTAGACTCCCATGCAGCGTTTGATGTGACATTATGTGGAAAAGCATGAACTAACTTGGAGATGGAATTGGCAGAGGAAACATGTGAGGTGAACAAGAAACTGAATAAAGGTTAGATAGTCATGCATCATACTGCAAAGGAGTAGTACCAGGTTAAAATTAAATCACTAATGACTTCCTGAAAGATTGGTGTTGGGGATGATTTTACTTAGTGTTTTTATCAATATCCTCAACATCACTCTGATGACAACATAAAATCGGGAGACATCACACAGAGGGAATGAAATGGCCAGAACGTGAGCAACAGGCATGCAAAATGTACTTGTAAAACCAATAAAATGCTACAGAATTTGCTCTTTATAGTCAGCTATTGGGAAACCATTAAGGAAAAAGTGAGGAAAACCAGCTGATCACAAAATGGTAAGAAACCATTTCTGCAAGGAAAATGCAACCATGATCCTGGGATGTACCAGGAAAGTTCCAGGAGAGATAATGAACCCAGTAAATTCTGCAAAGCATCAGTAAGGCATTACCTGGAGTACTTTGTATAAGTCACACTTGCGGAGCCGTGGACGAACGACATGCCGAGACGGGTTCAGTGTGGGTGATAGAGCATCAATCAACGTGTGTCTTTATTGGTCCAGGGTACATATATTTATACAGACAATGATAATTATTATGCCTACTAGTCACTAGCTGATTGGCTTAAGCTCTAAAGGTCGTATTCGCACGGTCCACCTACCTGCAGTTAGCTTACAGCCCAAGCTTCTCATAACACTAAGTTTCTCATGCTACTATTTCTGATTCCTGTTGACTTGTTTTCGATACACAACAGTACCGTAACACAATGTTTCTCAGACCACCGTTATCATAACACTAGGTTTCTCAGACCACTCTTCCTAATTCCCCTTAACCTGTTTTCGACACACCACGGTACACAGGGCTGAAGCGTCCTTGACATTCCTCCTGTATCAGCAGCTGCGAGCAGCTGCAGGCAAACCCTAGTGAGGCTCAGCATCAGCAGCTAGAGCAGGCTCTGATCATACAATTGCTCGGTGGGCTCAGGACCCTTGTCTCTGAGCCATTCTCCAACACACGCTCAGGCTGAGGTCAGACTTGACTCCATATGCGGAAAGTCTAGAAGAGTGGCAAGAGAAATGAAAATTATGTCTTATGACAGGAAACTTTTAAGAGCACATCTTATATAGTCAAGCAAAACAAAGGCTGATGAGAGCCTTTCTCTGTCTACGAATGCATCAAGCAAAAACTATGAACCACTTAAGCTTACATACTTGCCATAAGAGTGAGTATAAAACCTATCACCACTGCATTTAGGCTGGGAATTACAAGGTTTCTAATCATTAGAGCACTAAAGTGTTATAGCAGCTTTTCATTAGAAATATTGATGGCAAGAAACCTAGCTACTTTTAGGAAGATACTTGCTCAATTTAAGAAAGAGATTGTATGATGTGGTGGCCTGCTGGACTACATAGATAAAGAGCTTTCTTCCAGACCTCTCTTAGCAGTCCTGTCTTTGCAGCGATCCTGGTGGCTCCACTTCCTCAAATGCACCAAAACAGGAGTATTCATGGGCCCACGTCTCTTCTGAGACACGGAGGGCCAGAAGCAGCCGTGACGTGTTTGAGAAATTTACAGTGGAGACGTCTGAGGGCTGACAGGCAGCTAGGAAGTTACGGGTTAAGCACTGCTGTATGAGAGGAACAGCACTGAATTCCAAATGGGATAGAGCCATACAGCTTACTTAGTGTAAACAAATGGTTATGATTCCTGTCAAGAACAATTTTTCATCTCCGTAAAGCCTAGTTTAATAACATGGCACAGGCACCACTGAAAACGGGAATATTAGCTTTCCACCAATTTCCCAAAATTGAAATAGAATCTGTTTTGGCAAAAACAGTATACTTGTCTACCAAGAAAAACATTTTAGGTAGTTATATAAGCAATAAAAATAAATGTTTTATAAAATTCACCCAGAAGGACTTATAAGTATTAAAAACCCAATAATAATTAACCAGATTTCACGAAGTATGAAACAGCCAAAAATAACAACCAGTACAGCTGAAGATGGTGAAGTCACTTCTTCTATTGCACTCCAAAGCCTGACCACCTGTAGAGAGTAAAAAACTGCGTCCAACGAATTAATTTTCCTAATATGGACACAGTGCAAAATTCTGTCTCTTAACATGACTTCATTTTGCCAAAGTAATGGAATTTTATGCAAGCTTAATATGCTTCACAAGTATTTGTTCCTCTGGTGCAGCAGCAAATCATTGGGAAGACAGATGAAATGAAGGACTATCTACTTGGCTTCCTTTTACATTGAAAAAAAAATGGTATTGTCTTCCGACAGGCTCCTGCTCATTGCTGCCCCCTGAAGCAGCCTCTTGTGCTCCACTGGCGATGGAGGTAATTTAGGAAGAGCAGACAGATTAATGTTAACCTCTGTCAGAACCTGCCATTCTGACACAAGCGTGATTAATCCTACTCAGCACCAGCCAAGGGATTGCCAGTAAAGGAAACCATTAGTATCTTCTCATAGGCCAAGATCTCATTTTCCCTGTATGAGGACACCTGTATGTTGAAAGACAGAATAACATTTATCAGAACAGGTTCAGGAAAGACTGCGATTAGGTCATAAATAAGGAGGCAACAATAGTTAATTTTGTTGGTGAAATGAAGGTTGAGATAGGTTATGACAACAGTTTATATGGGGTAATAAATTGAGAGAAAATAACATTTTAAGCTGAAATCTAATACTAGTACAAGATCAGGTACATGAATACATTCACTCTGAAAACTGAAATTTTCTGAACTTCTGAGTTTCTAGAATTGCTTTACATGCTAGACGGTGGAACAAGAAACCTAAGCTGTTGTAAGATAAATCTTGATGGATTCATTTCTGTGACAGGACAAAAATGATCCTTGAGTTAAAAGCTTATCCTTGGATCTCTGATTATTAATCTCTGAATATCAGATTGCATTGATTTACCCCAAAAGATTGGACATAAAGGACACTTCCTTACTACTGAGTGATCATAGTTCTTTGCATGTATTTCTGGTATGTTAATTCTCCATAATTTCTGTGGGCTACTTGAAAACGCATTGGCTTTTACTTGGAAATGTTAGAGGTGGGCCATAGCTAAAAGCAGATGTATAACAGAATGTACTAATACTGAATTTTCAGCTAAGTCTTCCAGATTCCTGGCTGCTGAGCTGATGTCCAGCACTTGAGTCAGGTAACACCAGTCACCACATCTGCAGTGAGAATGGAATTGTATCCTGCCCTAAGAGTCCCGGAGATTCAGTGTTTGCTGCTCTTTGTGTGTGTGTGTGACTAGTGCATGAGCATAATCCTTTCTCTAATAATTTACTGAAACTAATTTCTTGTTACTGAAGGACTAAGTATGTGGATGACATCTCTTTTTCCTCACATGGGTTTGTGGAATACATGTTCTATGAACTTTCAGGACAAAGTACCTATTTCACAGCTCTTTGCAATGAAAGGTAAAGGGTGAGACACCCCCCCCTCTATGAAGCAGGAACGCCTTTTCTGTGTTTTCCCATATCCCTATGCAAAGCTGACCTATGGTGGATACAGAAATAAAAGAATAAACATAGTTTCAAAATGAGTTAGCTGCATTTATGAACTATGAGCTGCTCAAAAATGAAGTTCTTCTGTAGGAATGGAAGATATCCTCTGTTTTAGAGGCCATTTACAGTTGCAAATGAAAAATGGAACTTGGTTATCTTTCCCTAGTTCCAGAGCCAAAATGGAGGCTAGCAAACAATATACACGTCAACCCTAAATGTACTTAAGGCAACAAAGTTTAATCTACTGGATTGGTCATGTTATTTTTTACCCCTTCTTTTCCCAAAACTGATATACTTTTAAATTATTATAAAAATAACGTCTCAAGATTCCAGCCTATTTATTAGCATCACCCTTTTCCTTCATTTACCAAGATATTTATCTCACTCAGAATTTGAGTGTTCAGGGCATTAATAATTGAACACATTTTATGGGACTCAGTGCTTGTACACCTCTCTCTCCTGCTTTTGACTAGAATTTGCTTGCTCATTTGTGTTTTGTTGTGTAGAGCAAATTATTAAGCTGATTTCTGCTCCAAAATTTCCCTTCTATTCTTACAGAGCCTCATTTTTTTGGTTGAATTCTGGAGTTCATAGCATTGGACCTAAGGATGCTCTCAAGTGTTGGTGGCAGAGAATCTCAGAAATATATTTTTCTATAACTGGGAAAAAAGATCTTAATTTCAGTATCAACAGAAGTCTTTCCCGTGTGCTTTGCTGTAGAATTGCCACTTGGAAACTTCCTCAGCATCTGTTTCGTTTGGCTTTCTGCTAACCTGCTGTGCAAATGTGGTACTTGTCGTGATGAAAAAAAACAATTAATTCGGGAAGCTGACGTAAAAATGGTAAGCAGGAGTAGCAGATCCCTTTCACATCAGTCTTCACGGACTGTGGGGATCGCAACGCACACTTAAACTGACTTAGTGAAGATTTTAAACGCTGGATCAATTGAATTAGTTCGATGAACCCTGAGGCCGGTACACTCCCGCTGGCCGTGCCGGCGGCGCGAGCGCGCGGCAGCGCAAAGCCCCGCCCGCCCCCGCGGCCGCCCCGCTCAGGCGCAGCCCTCGGCTCCGCCCCCTGCCCCGGCCAGCGGGGTGTGGGATGGCCGCGGCCGCGCATGCGCAGCGCGGGCCGGGATGGCGGCGCCGAGGCTGCCTACCCCGCGGTATCAGCATGTGGGGCCGCACGGTCCCTTCCGGGATGTGTACGAGCCGGCCGAGGACACCTTCCTGCTGCTGGATGCTCTGGAGCAGGACGCGGCCCGCCTAAGGGAATCTCGGTAGGTGCGGCGGGAGCAGCCCGTTGGGGGGGGGGGGGAGGCGGTGCTGAGGTTTTCCCGCGCCCAGGGATGGTTCCTGGGGGGGGGGGGGGGGGGGCAGCCGGGCTGCCCCGTCCTTTGGGCCCGGGGCTGCTGAACGTCTGTCCCTGTTAATTGGGTTTCGTGCCCGGGAGGGTGGTGGCACGTTGGGAGGTCAGCGCGCGAGCAGCTGCGCGGAGGGCTGATACGTCGTTGGGGGGCAGCGGCACGTGTCTGCCTGTGGTAAAATGGCCGCGTCTCGACCCCGAAGCGCCTGCAGGAGCTGCGTCGCTGCTCAGGGTGCTGCCCGGCGTCAGTCCTCTGCGCAGCTGGAGGACGGCTGCGTAGCTGTCACCGCTCTAGAAATGACCCAAGGAGTTACGCTGAAACGTCAGGCTAGCGTTTTACTGAGAACAGAGTGTTCTGTGTAACCTTTGGAAGTCGCCGACACAGCTGAAGGGTTGGCGCTTTTGTAAAGAAAATGGAGTTTGAAGATAGAGAAGGAATAAATAAGACAAGATGAGGCCTCTACTTAAAGATACCAGGAATGAGGACAGAAAGAACCAAAACAAACCAACTCAAGACACACACAGTTGCACAACCCCTTCCCCAGAAGACGTTTGTGAGCGTGCGTGACCACTGAGGTCAACCAGCGGACAACAACCACCAGAGACCCCGCAAGACCACCACTCGGCAAGAAAGCGCATGCGTAATTGGGATGCAGATATTGTAATTAGTTCCAGAAAATCTAATGCATATGTAAATCACTCCTCAGAAAAATATGAATAGGTAACATTTCACTGTATATTAGCTGCTGCTTATGGATGTGGGGTGCACTCACCTTTGCAAAGCTATTTGTGTGTGCACCCAGCTGCAGTAAAAGAATGCCTTGCTTCCTAATTCCTACAGATTGGTTTTAGAGTTATTAGTCTGATATTTCAGTAACAATTTTGAGTGATTATTTTGAAATTGCCTGCTGCTGCTCTTTGTCCAGAGCTGGCTGAAACTCTCCTGAGGTACTCTACATTTGAGTCCTGCTTTTGTTGTGTGGCTTCATGGTGATCTTCCATAACATCTGTTGGGAGTTTGGTCTTGCTGCAATAAATGTGTAGTAAAATGGTGTAGCAATGTAGCCTGTGCTGGTGAGATTGTGTAGTTAATGGCAATTTTAATGTCAGGCATGGGGCAGGCATATATTTCCCAAAGTGGCTTGGGATAAGCAGGAATTGTCAGTATGGGCACCAGCAGACCTGGCAGCCGTTATGAAACGACATAATGTGGCCTTTGAGGTCTGTATGATCAAGTATTTTCAGCATGTTTGGGAGGAGGGCAACAGGTTTCATAACACTGGCTTGACTAATTCTGCATCTGTTGTAGGTGCTCATAGATGTTACAAATGAGCATCATCCAGAGTTTTCTCTCTTTAGAGTCGAGATCTGCCTTGAAATAGGATCTGGATCTGGTGTGGTTTCAGCATTTCTAGCATCTTCCGTTATTGGATCCAATGCATTATACATGTAAGTATAATAGCGCCTAAACTGTTGCATACAATAATAAAGAATACTTAGCCCTCATATACACACTTTTCATTATCACATTTTAACAAACTTTCATTTCTTATAGAAATACTAGCTCTAATTTACAGATCCGGAAATCAAATTAAAGAGAGCCTAAACTACTTACTTCAGCTTCTGTAGCAGTTAAGTAGTGGTGTGACTAAAATTCCATTTTCCTACTTCTTAGACAAATTAGTAAAATTACACTTGTGTTTGCTGGGGTGAATCCTGAATTTTAGCCACTGACTAGTCTTACTAAGGTCTGATATAACATAAGTTACCTGGGTGTTGGCAGTAACTGAATTTTTTTAGAGATGTCTATGCATATATATTTATGCAGAGCTAACACTAGAAAGGAAACACTGTACTGCACCTTTCAGAGGGTCATTAAAACTTCCAGTGTAGTGTTGAATGGTTTAGCTGCTGATACGCTGTGTGTATTTTACTGGGTATTTTTTGATATTTACTTGCAGAGTAAAGGATGCTGGAAAGGATATTTTCACTGAGAGTACATAAATTAGCATGTGGTTCACAGGGTTAAACTTCCAGATACAGCAACCATTAACTTATACTTCATAATATTTTGCTTTTAGATGTACTGATATCAACCCACTGGCAGCTTACTGTACACTGGAGACAGCTCTGCTTAACAATGTTCACCTTCAGCCAGTCATTACTGACTTGGTAGGACAGATGTTTGTTTCACTAATATCTTCTTTATAGTTTTTGTAATTTTTAAAATACTTAATAGAGAGAGTAAAAAGTAACCATGAACTCTAGAACAAACATTCTCTTAATAAGCATGGATTTAAAAACCCAACAAAATGCCAAAGTTTTTCTGAAAGGGAAAAACAAACTACTCAAGCTCTAAAATTCAGATTTAAGCTTTAACAATCCACTGAATCAATTTCAAAAATAAATTCTGTGGATATAGCTTGGAAAATGCTGCACAAGGAACTCTGCAGTGACCTGACATTCTCACAGCCCTTCCTCTAATGCTATGCAGTTCTTGATTCTCAGCTCTTTCTGATTTAATTAGGAACTGTCTATGCTGTTACTTTCTGTTTCTTACAAAAGTTGATACGGAGCAAAGCTAAATTGCTCATCTCTTTAGCAAGATACTTGTTTAAAATACCCTGAATATATATGCTTATAAAAGATGATGAAGATAGGCAACAATATATGTGATCTATAATGGATGAACAATTGCTCGTACATGAGAACTGAACTGCAGTTCTCACAGATTGGTCCTTTCAGGTAACAAATGTTAACCAGTGATAAATTCAAAATTATTTTATATCTAACTTAAATTCTGAACTGAGCAAGAATAAAGTACTACCTTTGTGTCCGCATGTGTCTCTTGCTCTTCTGCATCCCATACATGACATAGTCTTAAGACTATTGAAATTGTTCTGCTATGCACAGGTGCTGCTACTTCATGCTTCTCTTGCACATAGAAAGCAAAGTTTAGTGTTCCTGAGTCAGGCTGAAATGCTCAAAATACCCAGCACTATGTAACTGTATTTATACAAAATGTTTGCATTCTTTATGTTTCAAAAAGCCTCTAAAAAAACCCAAAGCATCAACTTCATCTGTAGGTCAAAGGACTGTCCCCAAGATTAAATGGGAAAGTTGATCTACTGCTGTTTAATCCACCATATGTGGCAACACCTTCTGAAGAGGTAGGAAAAATACACAGTTAAAATGTTATTTCTTCTGTCAGAGGAGAGATAGAAAATCAAATAAGCCCTGGTATGAAAACTGTAGGGTTTTTTTTTGAAAGGGTGTTGCAGGACTAGCACTGTTGTAACAGCACTGTTTTAGTGAAAATTATTTACTGGAGTTGCTTATAAAGATGACATGGGAATAAGGATTGCTAGCTGCTGCTTCTCAATACTTGGTTTCTCCATCAACTATAAACTATGTAAGACTTCTGTTAGGTACGCTAAGGTATTCTTATAGAAGACTTTCAATGGAAAATGCATTTGTTCCCTGCAAAATAAATAGCTACTGCTTCTGCACACTCCTACTCTTATAATTTGACCCATGAACACTTAAAGGATTTGCTGGCCATCTTCCACCTGGCAAACAAGCTCATAAAACATTACAGGAACATGCATACAAAGCCCATGACAGAATGTAGCTCTCTTAATTCACTTTAAGAACAGAACTTGAAACAACAGTAGTATGTTCATTGTGTAGGAAGTAAACTTGAAATAATTTTGCTGCATAAACTAATCTGCTGAATCAGAGTTGTCAGATTTCTAATAGCAGACACCTAAAGCTAGAGATTATGTTGATGTTTCTTTCATAAGCACCACCGGCACTTCTATCAGAATCATTCTGTATTATGACAGTCTTTGCTTTCATTATTCCTAGGTGGAAAGCCACGGAATAGAGGCATCGTGGGCTGGTGGCAAAAAGGGAAGAGAAGTGATGGATAGAGTTTTTCCATTAGTACCAGACCTACTTTCACCAGGAGGATTATTCTACTTGGTCACAATTAAAGAAAATAATCCAGGTGATCACTTTCATTGGACTCTTAAATGTGCCAAACTAGATTTAACACTGTATTAAGGAAAATGTTGATCTCAGCAATGTTCTCTAGATTATCAGACTTCTGTAAACAAGTACTACATAACATGAGTTGAATCTAATGTGGTGATAGCAACTAATTGAAGATTGACAGCATCTATTGAAATTCAGTGTTCTAGGTAGTTATTTACAAATGCTACGGGTGGCTAGAGTGTATCTGCATGCTTCACACAAACTGTGGCATCTCTGTGGACTCTGGTGCTTCTCATCTTTCAAGTTTGTGTGGGTGTCTAATCTACAGAGGGACCTTTGCATAACCTGATGCCTCTTGGAATCCTTCTGAATTCATGCCTTGTGCATCTAGTGTATGGTGAGCTACACCAGCAAATTTACCAAAACTTAAGAACTCTCTAAGCTAGTTTGGAAAATGGTAATATGTAGGTTCTGACCTCAGCAGGTCTGCAAGACTTAATTACCAAGTCTGAAAGGTGACTAAATTTTCTGAATGAAGTAATGAAGCCAGGCCAACCCCTTCTCGTGAAAGAGAATGGTGTTGTAAACTTAAAATGCAAAAGCCTTTAGTTGGAAATAGGATGTCTTTCATTTTGACACGTGTAGAGAAAAGATTTGGACTTCCTTCTTCTGATCTAATGCTTAATGGCTAAATGTTATCAAGTAGTTTCAAGAAAAAAGATTATTCTTTCACACCTGATTGGGCAGCTTTTGAGAGAAGTGGCTATACATTTCAGTTTCTCCTACAAATTAGCTTCTTAACTGAATTGTTCATTGCTATTAGTAAGTAAATTGCAAACCTCATTTGTACTTGATGGAAGGATACTTTGCATAAAAATTACTGTCCGAACGAGTAAGAAAACACAGTTTATGTTTGTTTTACATCTTAATGTTTGGCAGATACTTCAGCACTGCCTCTTACAGCTGATTTCTATATAAACTCGGTTGTAATTCTGCACTTTCAATTACAGATGAAATTCTGGAAATGATGAAGAAACGTGGCTTAGAAGGCAACCGAGTACTTTCCAGGCAAGCAGGACAAGAGATGCTTACTATCCTCAAATTTAGGAAGACTATCCTTAACCTTCCAGATACTAGACATGCAGAAAGTTGAACACAGAGTACTGAAGTTGTCAAATCAATTTTTAAGCCAAGATTTTCACCTTCTTAAGGTGTATCCTCACTCCCTGATTACTGCAGTGAAACTGATCAAGAGTTTGTTTATTTTTATTCTGGATGCTAACCAGCTATTATCTGCTGTCAGAGGTACAGCTATCCTCTGTCTAGCCACAGGACACTTGTGGGGGTACTATGAAATACCCTACCTTCTTGCATTTGCACTTAAGCACTAAATACTTTTTCCTCTGTAAATATTTATTTGTGTATTTGTTATCGTGGCTTATTACAATAATGTACTTACTTGATTATAATTCTTCCTGTTTTAAGAGCTAGTCTATACCTGTGCTGGGTTTAAATGAATACTTGGAATCAGCATTACTCATTTTGATGTAGTATCAGGCACAATTACTGGGTTTGCTATTACAAGGAAACAGTATACTTCTGAACAGAAAGCTGGAGCAAGTGTATCTCAAGAGTCCTCTGAGCTCAAACCACTGAGCCTTTTACTTTATTTTCTCCTCAGCACTTGGGGGAAATGGGGAAGTGAGCAGCTGTGTAATGCTCAGTTGCCCTCTGCACTCAAACCACGACAGTCACCATTCCCCAGCTTAGAAGACCACTAAAGAGCAACACTGCACTTCAGCAATTCAAACACAGCTAATGCATCCCCCTCTAACTTTTCTGTCAATTTGTTCTTACGTAGATAAACATGAACAAACACAAACACACAGTAGGAGGGTTTAGAGAGAATATACAGTCATGTTAAGGATGGAACTTTGACATTTATACTATAGACAAGAAATTCTAGTACTTGAAACTGAGTCTAAAAAGAAATGCCTTTGGTTGACCAAAGTGTGGCTAGACTTTGCTAATTCTTACATTCTGAATAACTTGTCTAAGGAATGTCAGAGCTGAGAGACAGAGGAACCGTTATATGGCCATCTGTGAAATAACATGTTTCCACAGCTTTCCACTGAAGAATTTAAGCAAAGTTTTGCTCTCGCAGCTTACCAACCAGTCAAGTCTGAGAAGTCTTATTTCGATTTGACTGCTTCCTACTTCTAGAACTTCTTTCACTTGTTGGCAGTTCCTTTGTTAAGCCACACTTTTTTTGTTCATTTTTCCCTTACAAAACTGTAAGGAGAAGAGATTTTATGCTTGGCGATTTTGGTTTTATGTAGAATCATGGTTTTTGAGGTTATAATCATAGCCGCAGGGCTGTCTGAATGAACCAAAATACTGTCATCCTAGCCCACCTGAGAAGTTTTATGTTGTTTACCACTTTGGCTAGCAAAGTGAGGTTGCTGAGCAAAAGTCATAACATCAAAAGATGATCTTAACATGTAGTCAAAATATGTAATAGAATCAAACTGCAGGTCTAATAAAAGGAAGTTTTTATTAATATGTCAAGCTAGAATTAGTTTTAAAAGATGTAATTGAAGATAAAAAAGGGCACTCACTGGCACAGTAGATCACAATGCTCAACAGTGTATGCAGTTTTAAATTATAAAGGATAGAATAATGAAAATCAGAAGATCAGAACAGAAAGTGAAATAAAACAACATGCTTTCAACAAAAAAAAAATGGGACTGGACTGTCTTACAAGTGGATATTTGGACAAGGAAATATATGCATCTACCTGAATAAATCAAGAGACAATTCTCCTGGCTCTGCTTTTGCTGTCTGCTGCAATGTCAGTGGAAGCACTTGGCAAAATGCAATTCAAGTAATAACATAGGAATCACTTCTTACAGAACTCACCCATTATGCCCCCATCATCCTGGTGAAGACTGGGAACGAGTGACAGGCCAGGCACCTTTTTTTTTTTTTTAAATTTTTAAATTTGCTGTGCCTAGACAGAGGTCTGCACATACACTTAACATTTGCCAGGGCATACCTATTCCCTTCTAGAAGACCAAAGAATATGACACTTTCTGGAGAGTTTTGGGGAAGAAGCAGTTTTCTGCATTCAGAGCACGTGAGAATAAGCTGTCTGGCAGATACAGACTTTCCATGTGGTGTCAAACTCAACAAATAGAAAGCAAAAATTCTGCTCCCCAGACCCCTGGGCACTGCTCTGTCAGCAAGTACCAGTGCCAAAAGCCGTGCTGCTGCTTTGCAAGTGCCTGCACTTCCTTGCTCTGCTCTAGCAGAACCAAGACAAAATCTCTCCACAAAGCTGTTCCTGGTAGACAATTTGCCAGTTAGGGTCTGCTAGAAGCGTTTAAGATGTTTTTTTTCAAGCAATTCCTGGTTAACCACAACTGGCCTTCAAATCAGTTATTGAAGTTGCAAAGAAGTCATTTAGAATGAGCAAAGTGATGCAACAGAGACAATCCTGGAGTTTTAGTATCAGTAACTATGAAACAATACAGCTTGCTCCGTAATCTGTTTTCAGTTAGACCTTTTCCATACCAGTTTTAAATAATTTCCATTCTCTCTCAAAAAAAGTCACGAAATTTCTCCTCTGAAAGTCCAGTGTTAACTGTTAAAAATATAGACTTATCAACAGCTCAAAATCATTGCTAGAGCTGTCACCTCAAAAGGGATCAACTTTGAGAAAACGTACAGAATCTAAAAAAAAGAGCTGCTGAGGTACAGCCAATTGAGTACAATATAAACTTGGCATCTGAAAAGTTATACTGTGAAACTTTCAGAAGTTACCACACAGAGGAAGAAACAGCAATCCATAGACAGAGATTGAGAAATTTCATTTATTCTCCCCCTTTTATTGACTTTTCAAAGAAATCCACCACAAATACCATCCTACTATGTTACTGCTGTTAACACAAAAAAAAAAGCATGAAAAAAATGTGTAGTTGAAGACAATATTAAATTCTGATAGGTCTGTCATGTTCATTTACAGTCATTATTGTTACGGGACAGTGGAATTGCAGTGTACATTCAGTGATAGTTAATTTGCCAGCTAATGAAGACATTTACTGAAATAATGAAAACGAGAATTTGTTTAGTGCATATGCCTTCTCTTTAAAAGCCAAGAGGCAGTAAATAGGTAGTGTTTTTCATTGTCATGCAGGAATGATTGTAACCTCTCTACTTACTTGGGCTTCCGAGTTTTTGTGTTTTTAGGGTGCTGGATGGCTGAGGGTTTTGGGGAAAAATTAGACTGCTAAAGGGGAAAGCTCAGTTTATAAACATGGTCATTTAGAGCAAGCTGTGTTTAAATTTTATGCTTTAACAGAAGGCTATCACCCTAGTTCCATGCCTTAATGTCTAACAGCAACAACATTCTTTCTTCCCCTTAGGAGGAACTATTACGAATGCACTATAATAAAAAACCAAATTTTTATTCCACTTATGTTAAATTCACCTGTTATATGGGTTAAGTGTGTAACATCATGTTAGAATATACCTAAAATAAGAGGTTTTAATCAACTTATGCTGTGGCTTAAGTACCACTTTCCAGACATAACTCTGCACTATTTCTGAATTTTTAATATATCTCAATATCTTAAAAATATACAAATTAAAATAAATTATTATTATATATTTCTTTATATGAAAGAAGAATCTTCAAACTTACAAAAGGCAGTCCAGAGGTAAATATGTGCCATATCCACTAGTCAAGAATTTAAAGTAACTGACATCTCCAAGTACTTAGCTGCTTTTGACATACAGTTTATGGCCACCTCTTCAATTATTACTTAGCTCACAGAAAGAAGAAAGACTTTTTTATTTCAGAAAAATGTCTCTCGACAGAGCGGACAGGTGGACTTGTTGCTGGATGTGAACCATTTATACTGAAAGAAAAATAAGTTTAATATATTAATGCAAGCTGAATATCAGAAATGCTGAAAATATAACTATCAAAATATTATACTTTAAAAAAAACAACAAGAAACAGTAAAAAAAACCCTTTCTACATGTGTACGTATGCATGTATATATATGCATATGTATTTGTATATACACATATTACACACACACACAATACTAAAGTTTTATTCTAAAAAACCTAACACAAAGGACTTCTCATCTGGTCTCATTTTAGAATAAAAAGCTAGTGTTTTTAAAGCAGCAATAATTCCTCCATTGTATGGCCATACAGATGCCAACCTGTTCCAGTGTACTCTAATCATCCAACCAATGCCTATGATGACTTGGATACAGTTAAATGTTAATTATCCAGATCAGCATGGTTTACTAAAGAGCATGATGCATAAATTAAATTTAACCTTTTCTATTCCCGTATCTGAGCTGGTAACAACAAGATGCTGTTGGAACACACTACTTAAATGTAATGGCTTATGTCTTAGTGAACACGAAGCAGTTATTATCTGTGAAGTGTAGCAACCCCTCCCTCATTACATGCCCTTGCATCTTCGTACAATATCCGTACAAATAATTTGTGAGTTTAGTTAATCTCAGATATTCCAATGACATAATGGAGAATTGATGGTAGCACAAGTTCCTGGTTCTAACTATAAATGGATATTTTGCCTATTTAAAAAGATTTTGTCTAGGTACTTACCAAGCAAGCTGAATGAAACTTTTTCTTGCATGTTCTACAAGCTTTTTTGGGAAGAGAATAGTTGGAACCATGAATGACTGAAAAACAGATCATGCAATCTTCAACGCCCTCAAAACGCTTATCCACATTATTTTTCCACAAAGATAAGCCTTCCATAATACTTCCATTCTAACAGAGGGAAAAGAGCTGTTAATACTGTAGAATTCCTTCAGAATATTCTTACTGTTATTCATAAGCACATAAAGGAAACAAAGCCTGAAGGCTTTAAAATCTGAAATTATATGCAATATACATAGTGAATAATTTATAAAGCCAACACATGAAATATAGATGATATTCTAATCTACAGAAATGCAAGCAGTCATCACAACAAAATGAATGCACTTAGGCCCACTTAAAAGGGGATTATAACATCTTAAATCACTGTTTTGTTTTGTTCTAAACACAGACAATGCAACTTCAACCACCACTAATCTTTTACAGAATTTCACGTACTGGGTTTTAGGTTTGTTTTTGTTTTGGTTTGGGTTTGGTTTTGGTTTTTTTGTTTTTTTTTGTTTTTTTTTTTCAAATTATAGTTGAGATGGCATTGCTACATGGGGCAAACACTGGCCCATGTCTTCAGAGATCTGTATTTTCAGCTTTGGCTATGGACTTCACAGGATGTATTAGCCCAATGATTTTACCTCTCTGTTTCAGCATCTGGAGAAAAGCAGATGGTAAGAGTGACCAATTCTGTGAAGTCCTTTGAGGTCTACTGACAAGATCCATTATACGTATCTAAATAATATTGCATTACTAGGAACCTTTTTCTATTACCAGGAGTCTAAGTTTTCAAAACGGAGGCCTTTCTCTAAACTCACCTGATGTGTAAGGTATGTGCTTAACTGTAGCATCCAATTGCGCCATTGCTGTACAGCCACACCAACCCTCTTTCCACTCTCAACTGTTATGGATCCCAGCGGGTAATTTGATGGAAGCTGTATTATAAGTTCAATAAATATATCGTCAACTGAATAGGTAGCAATGACTTCCCGTGCTGCAGACCGAGCTTTTACCTATGAAAAAAATGCACATATTAAAAAAACTCCAGAGAAATACGCACAACCTCTAGTCTTCATAAATACCTTACTACACACATTAAATCATCATCTTAGACCAGGAAAACATTTTTGTCAAAGAACGTAAAAATCCACTCATATTTTGTCAAACCAAAAAGGAATTACCAGCCATTTTTTGATCTACTGATTGATCACATTTCTTAATAAACCAAAAAGAAGTATATTGATAGCAGAATCCTCCCCTTTCCTACTCAATTTCTCCAGCATCATAAACTCATTCTTTTCTATTTTTTTACAAACAGAATATTAATAAACTTAATATATAAATACCAAGCTAAATTATGTTCTCACCAGTCATTTATAACAACAAAAATGCAATCACATAAACTACTGTAATACAGTCTGGTTCTGACAAGTAACATGTCTTAAAATGTCTGCAATAAAACTAAAGTAAATCAAAAAAAGGACAAGAAGTCTTACTAACCGTCATGCCATTAAATAACTGTGTGCTAGTCTGAACAGAAGTTATCTCCTGTGAAGAAAGCACGCTGCTGACATACTTGCTTGTAAATTTATCTACCACATTGAAGACCCGTTTCTCACAGCTATTCCACCAAAGCCTGACCATGGCTGGCAAGTCTTTCAGTGTTATATGGTACACAGAGCAGGCCAAGTGTGGTATCTGGGATGACAGGACTCCTGTTCCTGGGAGGGAAAGAAAGGATGTCGAAATACTCTGTTAGTCACAAATATTGGTTCCTCCACAACACACACAAAAATTTTGATACCAATGTAACTGTGGTAACTGGAATTTCACATACATGCTCCTTCTATATTTGCTACTGTAAGTGCTTGTTTGACTTTCCCTTTCTCCATCAGTCTGGGTTTTTTTGTTTCTTAGGCTAGCACCTCACAACTGGAAATTCATCTTCTAATTTAGAGATGAATTCTAGGTGGGCTACCCAAAATCAAGAATAATTTTATGTTCTAGAAATTACAAAATGATCACTTTGGAGTGAGCAAACAATAGGATGTTTGGAGCAAGCACATCTGAGGTTTGCAGTGTTCTACAGAAGTGCATAAAGAGATAAGGGAAATCCTTCTCTTTGGATGT